CACAGATATGCATGTAGGTTCATTATCACGCAGATAACGACACGTTGAAAATTCAGTAGAAACGGATCTTCTCCCAGCAACGTAGAGTTTGCTTTTCACTACTAGAAGAATGGATCCCAGCTGGGAGGAGGTTGTTTCCGCTTTTTCTTCCCACTTATTCTTTTGAGGATCAAAACAATGTAACACGGCTCGCATCATGATTTGGATCCTATCTCTCTCCAGAACATACATTTTTGAATTCATTACTACTGCACCACTTAAGTTACAGTTTTTGGGTACTCCAGGAAATGTTTGCCATTGCCGTTTAACGAAATTGTACCTTTGAGGACTTTGATGGCGTATACCTACTGCATACATATACTCATCTATAACACACAAATCGTTGATGTGATCACCTAAAAACTGGAGTCTCTCCCACACATTTACCTCTGTGTCATAACGGTAAATGCAGTTACCGAGCGAGTCCTGTGCCGCAACCATCAACTTATTGCCAACAGGCACTGCACAGTAACAATGGGTGGCCTCCATTCGCGGTGTGGCAACCGGTAACAACTTCCAGGACTTGTCCACTACATCGAAGTACTGTATTGGAGCCTTTGGCAGAACAGCAACGAGAACCTGTAGGAGAAATACAAGGTTAGGGTATAGCTTGACAAAAAAACCAAAGCCTACTTTAACTTTCCTACTCTACTCCCCCACATGCAGGTAACTTCAAGGAGTTCTGCTTCTTTCTGGATGAAGCCTGTTACTCAGTTCAAAGTGAGAGAAAATTATTATTAAAATAAGAAAGGAAAAAACCGAAATGGCTAATAAAACAAACAAACAAACTAACAAACATCAGGAACGTAAAAAGCGTAAACCGCGCATGACAAACTTCGTTGACACAACCAGTGTAAATGCAAATTAATGTCGATCGACACTGATTTACTTATGGAAAAAAAACGGTTCATATTATTTTAAAACACACTTACTGGGTTCTTTGATCGTGGCTTCGTCTGCTTCCCTGAAGACTTAGGTTTATAAGAAGGCTTGTGTTTATAGATTGCTGCTTCGTGGACCTGCAAGTAAATTTCAGGAATTTGTTGCATCTCCTCTGTGTGAAGGTCGTCAATCACAACTCCAATATCAACCAGCCCCAGACGTACTGCTCCAATAACTTTGGCTACAACTGGCATCCTCTCCTCCTTCTTGTAGTTAATCCACTGCAACACGGATTTAAGGACAAAAGTCTCAGATGGCGTATTGAGGTCATCTCGGCTGAGAAGGCTGACTAATTGGTTTCCATCGATGTACGTTAGGAATTCTTTACTCTCGCAGACATCTTTATACATCTTAGCCACAGCACACTCTGCAGCGTCTTGTAGATCTTTCAGCTTATAGCTCGACGCAATTCCCCAGATGCGACAGTAAGTTTCAAAGTCGAAGCGAACCTTCACGAACTCCTTCAACAAAAAAGTACAACACTGATGAACAACACTTGCGACTTGAAGATGATCTGCGGCAGCGAGAACTTTGGATACAGTTTTATTGTTAACACGAAGCTCTCCAGTGTACACAGAGTCCAGTATGATCTTTAAAACATCTGGTGAGATGCTTCCATCTTTGAGCTCGATCACTTCCTGGTTGGACTCCTTCATTCCATCTGTAAACATTGCGTAGAAATATTCGCTATTCGCAGCCAACACGATGCGATGAGCTGGAAAGATGTCTTCACCAACTTTTAATTGAACGTCGATGAATTGACTTCTGTTTCGAAACTGAGCACACTTTGACAGAAGAATATCGGCTTGGGCTACCATTTTGCTACAGGAAAGCATCTCACTGTACTTCAACATCAACTACAGATCAGACGGTGCCTTGTAGCTAGCAATACGAAATTTGAGGGATCGCGTGATCGCGTGATAGCTACACGTCAACGTCATGTCGTTACCTTGGTAACTACATCCTCCTTCCAGCCTCCCGGCAGAGAAAGAAGCATTCAGGCATGGAATGCAAAATGGTTCCGTCGTAAATGCAGATTATAAAGTGTTATAAACAGACTTAATGATGTTCCCGAAAAGCAAGAATTTTCGTTGGAAAACTTAAAAAAAGTTGAATATATCAACAAAGTTGAAATGAGATACAATGTATATCATCCTCGGAGACCCAGGGGCAGTGAGTCGATTTCAAGTTAAGGGCACAAGAGCCGCTGGGGACATTGTCTTACAAGACTAGTTCCAAACGGTCGCAGTCGTTCTGGCATCTGATTGGTGCCAGAAAATCTTTGTGTTTTTCTGCCCAATCAGAGTGAAGTGTCGTTTGGAGTCCTTTCGTGTGTTTTAACACGCACATATTCAACAAGCTCTGTTGCTCGCTATGTTTGTTTGGGCCGTGCGACGAAGCTTTGCCCGAGGTGAAAAGTTTCAGTCTCAGCACACAATGTAAGAGAAATCGATCAGATTGTCCGCGAAATCTTACCGGAAATTATACTGAATACTTTCGCAGGTATCACAAGAGAACG